GATTCACCATTCTGCCCTCGCTACTGGTTGAAATGCAGGAGAGGCGAAAAGCAGCTACGGGAACATTTCTTCTGATTAGGAAGGTCAGTACATTTTTAATAAAGGGCTCTTTAAAGATAATCTCATTTCAGTATTTACACATGTTAAAGAGGTTACAAAGATCAAGGCGTAATGAAGTCAAGGAGGAGAGGACAATAAGAGTGTGGCTGGGGTATTACAGCGAGTGGTATCTCTCGCCGGTTGGTTTGGGCGGAGGAGAGCTAAAGCAGCAGGGCACAGACCCCACCAACCCCGGCAAGAGGCAGAGGTTCAGGCACGGGAATAACTGGCTGGGGCTCGCTCACAAAAAAAAAAAAATTCAGCAGCAATTCTCTGAATGCAACCAGTACCTTCAGCTTTCCTTTTTCCTCAAACACAGCACAGCAGCAGCCCCCGGCACGCCGTTCCTCCCCTGGCACACGCTGGCACACTCAGTCTGACACGCTTGTGCAAGCGCTCGACCGCACACCACCTCCCACCCCCTCCGACACACACACCTCCAAACGCCGCAGCAGCTTGTACTATAGGCAGAGCCCTTGTTTACCAGCACGCAGGCCTAATTTAAACTCCTGAAGTCATCTCCAGCCTTTCGCTATAGCAACCCCAGCGAATCTTCCCACTGTAATATGTGCAGAGCAGCTTCGCATCCCAGCTTTACATCGGGCGAGGTTAAATCTGACTTAACTAAAAACTTAAATATTTGCCAGCAGCTCCCAGTGTCAGCAGCGGAGTTTCATAAAAACTCTGCTCGGAAGGCAGAGCTCCAGCGTCGCTCTTCATGTGCCACAGATTAACCCCAAGGAATTAAAAATTCTCCTGAAATGCTCAACTCCCACTCCTCCGGGTATTTGAGGAAACCTGCTCTCATTCTCCTCTGCTCTCCGTGCACTGGGTTTCTGTAACATGCCCAATATACCGTTTGCTTTACAACTCAGTGCAGCGGTTTGGGGCCCGGGGGGATGCCCGCCAGCCCTGGGTACAGCAAACGACATCACCAGGAAGAGAAAGTTTTAGGTCAAATTTGGAATCATTTCTCTACCGTGCTAGAGAAAAATTTTGGTGCCTGTTCAAAGTTACCGTGCTTCGTTGCAGAGGGTGCAAGAGACTAAAAATAATCTTTATTTAAAACTACTTACTAGTAGTTTTGCAAGATCAAACAGAACAAAAGGAAAAATATATTCCAAGGGAAATGTTACTTCTAGAGCTCAAACAGCACTTGAAGTCCCCATTAAATAACTTTCAAGGGAGGCTGCACAGAACCAGGAGGAAGGGGGGAAACCAGCATGGAAGGGGGGTTACCAGATCACAGGGGCAGACAAAGCAAAGATATCTGGAACCACAGGTATTTAGCACAGCTGCATCAATAATAGGTAAATTGGAGTGTCCTCATGAAGTGACTCATTTCTAAGAAGTAATTCATGAAGAGGGCAAGAGAGTCACAGATATAAGGGAAAGAAGCAAAGGAAGAAGAGCAAAAATAAGAAAATAGTTCAAATTAATAAAATTAATTGTTTTCAAAGCCAAAAGCACTTGCTGCAGTCATCTCAAACAGCCCAACAGGCAACAGAACTTGCCCAAGTAAAATCTCCTTGCATTTGCTACAGATATGGACCAACTCCAGCAGGTATCCTGAAACCAAGACAGTATTCAAAGGAAAGCCTAATATCCTAATATTTAAGGGATGCAAGGTCTGCTACAGCCACCAGCTAAGCTGTTCTCCTACTAGCAACCCTCCTAATAAATCTTGTGCTTTATTTTTCAGTTTAATTTCTTTAGCTTCAACTTCCAGCAGGCAGGGACTTTTTCTCTATTTTTAAAAACCATCCTGGAACAAAGCAAGCAGGACGGGTGTCAGGCAAGGTCGGCCCGAAACCTGAGGGCAGCAGATGTTGAGAAGGCGAATACACTCCCCAGCACCCTGCCCAGGCTCTGGCAGTCATAACCGACGGGCTTCCAACCCGCCAGATGCTCTCAACTTTCTCCTTGCTAAGCTAAATAGCTTGTGTTTCCAACTCCTAACGCATGAAATGAGTCTTCTGAGTCCCATTCAACCAACCAGCCTCTTCTTTTCTTTTTTAAGAGAATACTATGTTAATCTCATTAGCTATGCTATTGCAAAGCCAGTCTGTGTGTTGCTCCCACCTACTACCCAAATAATCTTCAGCGGCTCCCATAACACAGGGAGCACTCTAACCCCAGGGGGTACTGGGGAACAAGAAATATTACTGGGTTTAGGATAAACCCAACCTTATGGTGCCAGGCCAACAAAACCAGCAGTGGCCCAGGGACCCAGAACATCCCTTCTATCACATCCCAGCGCTACCGAGCATCGCTTCCAGGTGAGAAAGTGCCCGTCACGGGCCTTACCCAGCCCTTGGCACCGGTCGCTCGTCCTCCCTGGTCCCAGCACACCCACACCTCAAGAATTTCCCTGCGCCACACCTACACCTACTTGCCAGCACACACCACAGCCTCAGCCAGCTCCAGCCCCACACGAGTTTCCCCGGCACACAAGTAACAGCAAATAACAGCTGATGGCTGCTTTTGCTGAGCGTTCTGATTTCTGTAAAATTATCAGGCTCACGTAACGAAATACTGAGGGTCTCGCGTGTGCTTGGACATCATTTGCCTTGACGCTTGCTTGTAACATCACCAGCATTTAGGACACCTTTCGGTGAGAACCCAAACCAGAAATCCCAACCAGTGCAGTCTTCAGTTCAGCTCCATCTTAGGTTCAGCTATGACCAAGAACAACAGAAACACGTTTCATGACCCCAAACAAGTTCACGTGGGAAAACATTCTGTTTAAAATGCAGAGAGTCACGTGATGGCAACACACCTCCACAGAATGCTCGGGCCTGCATCTGGGGAAAGAAGTTAATCACCAGTTTCTGCTTCCCCACGGGAGCCAAGGCACCACCTGTGTCCAAAACACTAGGGTCACCTCTTCTCCAATGCTTCAGACCTGGCATGGGAAGCTCTGGAGATGCTGCCCGGGAGGGTGACAGTACCAGTGCTGCACCATGGCTGTGGGGACAAGGGGGGTGAGGATGAGGAAGGTGGCAAAGCCCTCTCCGAGGGTGGGAGCACCGACGTCTGCACGCACAGAGCCTCTTCAGAAGAGAGCCAGCGGCTCGGGGAGGTCCACGATGGCCAGGAGGGATGTCCCAATGGGGCCGTGCTTCCAGTGACAGTTTTCTGGTAGGCACGAGGAGCCTCCTGGCGAAGGTCTCCCCCCCAGGAGGGGCACCTGGGGTCCCCTGGGAGGAAGCACCTTCGCTGGTGTCCCTGGCGGGTCCACAGGCAGGGCACGGGTGGGCAAACAGAAACCGGAGCAAGTACCGCACGTGCCCGTGGACAGCGCGGCGAGAGGGGAACGGGGGCCGTTCACTGACTGTTCTAGGTCTGATTTTGAAAAGAACATCCTTGTCCAGATCACCGATATCAATTCCTGGGAGCTTATTTGGTTGTTTAGAGCTGACAAAACAGACTGGGCGAGAATAAGTGCGGTTCCTGCTTCCCGGTACGTACGACCAAGGGGCGCAAGCACAGCAGAGGGAAAATCTGCATGCTGCCCTTCACGACGAGGCAGCAGCACTGACCAGATGGGTCTTTAAATGGGATTAAGAGGAAGAAGGCTCTGCTACATCCAGCCTCTTCCTCCGGGGCTGGAAACTCGCCCTCCTTACAGCCAAGTCTCCACAATCGGGAACCAGCCTTTTGCTTTCACCCTCTTTGTTCTTTCCCAGCCACTTCCTCCCTCGTGTTTACCTTACAGACCTGCCACCTCTGGCTCACAATTCCTCCTTCTTTGGAAAGCCTTTGAGATGCACATTATACAAGATACACAAAAATAAATTGTTTTTAATCCTCCAGATTCTAGTGCTCCTAAACAAGGATCCTAAAGAGCTTTACAAACAACGGATTAAGCCTTAAGACTCCCTGGGAGGTAAGCAAGCGCCTCTCTCGCAGGCGCAGAGGAAGGTGAGCGAGGCTGAAGGCTGTACAGCGTGACTTTTATCACCAGCGGCCTGCTTCTCCACGCGCAAACATAGAAGCCAGTCTGCCGCCGAGCCATCAGCCGTCCAGCGATGCCTTCGCCACTTCGCTCCAGACTGCTCAGCGCCTTCAAAACCACCATCCACCTCTCCAACGCCCAAGCGCTTTCTTGCCCGCCTTCAAGCATCGGGAGCGCTACCCAACGCAAACCCAAGACAAACCAACCCAGGGACCACCCCTGGGGCCCCAAGCCGCCGGCGCAAGGCTTCTCTCGGGGCGCTGTTTAAGATTTCACGACAACTCGCTTTCATTAGCGGGCGCACGGGAAGCTTTCTTGGCGTGTATTTCGAGCAGCTCACCGGATGCAATCCTGCGGAGACAGGCACCTTTCTTGGTTTGCTCCTCAACGTTAAGCTGACTTTGGGTCACATGCCCTGTGGCCTCAGACTGCAACCTATATTAACATGACATCAGGTATTCTTAGTGCATCCCGGTCTGTAATGCCCGTATATTTCTTCCCTGATATATTTTGCATACATCTTGTAAACAAGCTTTACATCCTTTTGATCAGCGCTCTGCACGGAGCCCGGGGAGGGGGAGGAGACTTCCTGTTCCACTATTGCAATCGCTCTCAGCAACGTGCTGCGCTCAGCTCTTGCCACCCCGTGAGCAATGATGAAATTTTCTATTTTGGTGGCTTTTTCTTCATATATTTGTAGCAAGCGGGCTGCGCTCTCGTCCAGCATCGCTGTTGATCTGCATGTATTTTTTTTTTTAATTCATTTTAAAGTGGCAGAGCAATTTATCGCAGCATTTCCTTTTCACGCCAAGATAGCCACCTAAGAACCCTGTTCTCTAGCCAAACGTTTTCACACTACCTGGCTTCTCAGTTTCCTTGCCGGTTGTCTGAAAGCAGACGTTTTTGCAGAAGAACTTGTTTACAGAAAAAACAGACTCCTGTACGCAGGAAAGCACACCATGGTGCTTTCTTGCTCTTGCTTATCTGAAGCTAAATCCGGCTTCTGCTTGCCCACAGGCAATCAGCCAAATGCTCACCAGCTGATACCTCCTGCACCTCGTGGCGACTTCACGTGCCCGAACCCTCCCTTCCCTCACGACTGACCGCCTCGAGAGGTACAGCCGATACAAAACCACCCCCCGTCCCGGTTCCAGAGACCCGACACCAGTCGAGGCTGCAGAAGGTTGGAACCTTCCTCCCTTTGGAAAGAGCAAACACCCACAGACTCCAGCGGCCACTGGGAGCCCAAGAACCATGGAAACACTTGACGGGAATTGCTGGTACTCTTTTGTGACTCCAGTTCACCGCTTCCATGCCTCCCCTTTGCCAGCTCCGATGAGGAGCTTATAAAACCAGGACGCTGTAGGCAGCCGAGCTGCAACACAGGAATGTTATGTAGTCGGTTACTAATACAGTGTTTTGCATACTGTGTTTCAAACACTACGTGCTTTTACATGTTCAATGTCAGCAAGGGGAAAAAATCGTCAGACCAAAATGAAGTCTTCCTAATATGAGTTATGAGCTATACAGCAGGCTACCAGGTGCACTGCAAAGACCCCGCAGGGATATTCCTGTATTCATTTCAGCTCTTTCCTTTTGAGAGCAATCTCAGTTCCTTTTCTAATTATTTTCCTCTAGCTGAGATCAGTGTGCTTCTCAGCTCTGCCCACGGCAGGCCGGCGCGGGCTTCCACGCGATCTGCAGGCGGGACGGGGAGTGTTCGGAGCGGCGAGGGCCTGGCAGATTTAGGATACTGAACAGGGAGGAAAAATAAATGCAGCATAGATTCTTTTGGGTTAAACCACTTCCAAATTCAAGGGAAAGCAAATTTTTTCAACAAACAGAACATATTACATGAAACTGTGGGTGTGCTACTCTTACAGATGCTCTATGTGAACCAAAATTTGCTGAAATTATTACAGAAACATTCCACCATCTCCCAAAATAAGCATCTTTGTGTATCTTTGCCTGGATAAATTATGAAAAAAAACCTGCATAGTGGAGCACAGTTTCCATTTCCTCGCACACTCCTACCAGGGCTGTGCTTACAAGTAAACGCACCGACCTTTTCTCAAAGAAATCAGTGTTTGCTGTTCCTTATAAATTTGCAGAATTTTGGCTCATTTCCATTTCACCCACTTTTGAATACGACGCTCCCCACCCCCACACAACTGTTCCCTTCTGAGGGATGACAGGCTATCCAAAAAAAAAAAAAAAAATAAAACCAGGAGCGCTTGAGCTGCTCGTTCCCTCCCTGGATGGCAGACAAAGGAGCACCAGGAATTTCAGCCCAACCTGTTGCGGGGAGCACCTCACCTTAGTTCAGTATTCCAATTTCTTCTGTCCTCCGATAACGGCATTTTTCCAGCGCTCCCCTCATCCCAGATTTTCTGTACAATCATTTGTGGCACATTTTAATTCTTTATTATTTTCCTAACAAGAATTGGACCTCAAATCCCTTACAAAAGGCACCACGATTACTAGAAGGATTGCCCCGCAACCCTGCTCTGTTTTTCTGTCACTGCTGATGTGGTACACAAAGAATGAGATTTTTCAATTTGTTTTGTCCGTGAGCCAAAAATTCCTTTTAATGGGTTGAATATGGTGCCTGTGCTAGTCTCTCACCGCTCCAGCTCAACTCTCACTTACAACAGTCACTGCCTACAACGCGGAGTTGGCCTCCTTTCGCAGGAAAATAAGGCCAAACCAGCTTGAAAGCATGTTTGGAATCCGGAGATTAATTCCGTGTAAACTAATGCATTCAAACCCCTTTGTACGGCTTCAGAAAGGGCTGTCTGATCCCGGCGAGAAGTAGGGCAGCGCATACCCACGCCGTACGACGGGGGAGGCAGGCAGAGAGCCGCCTCCATTTTGAAACTCTTGACTAAAGCTCGCGACCGTTAACGAAGCAGCGTCCTGCCCCGACGAGCCGGCCCTGCCGCCGCTCGGCCAGCTGCCCGCCGCCAACCGCTCGCGGGGGCGAGGGGGGGAACGTGCTGAAAAAGCCTGCGGGGAAAACAAAGAGGTGCCGGGGCCGGCGGGAGGGCAGGGCGGCGGGTCAGGAGGCGGGGAGGGCTCCCACGGGAGCCCTCTTGCTCAGGACCCCGGAGCTTTTGTTCGGCAGCAAATGCCGGGAGCGACAAAGCCCGGTGGGTGAGGCCGTGGGGCTGCGGCGCACGGCACGCTGCTGCTGCCGGGGGCGAGCCCGCCGTGGGGAGCAGGGCCCCGGCCCCCCGCTCCCGCGGCTCTCCCCTCGCCAACCGCTCCCCGCTTCCCTCCACCCTCTCTCGGGGAGATAAATTATTCAGAATGAAACCATTTTAAACTCTGTTGGGATGCCGAGCAAAGCTAAGATGGGTGGTGCTGCAGAGGAAGCTGTCAGGGACACGACCAGAAACCAGGTCTTCCTCGCACAGAAGGTTACAAGTGCAATTGCAGCCGAGCCCGCCTTGAACCCATTGCCACGAAGACTCTCTGAAATAACTGAACACAAAGCTCGAAGAGCACCCCGTCACACCCAGAGCCACAACACCAACGTCAGTGCGAGGCCCAGGGACCTGCTCCGCTAAGTCCATCCATGGGAGACTCCCATGAAGCCACCCCATCAGCGATGTTTGAGCACCAAATGTCCTTATTCCTGGATTTCCTTCCTGCTGGCCTGGTATAAAGCAGCAGAAATAAGGACAGCTGAGCAGAGCATGGTTTGCACAGTGACCCTCCCGTGCCAGGGCAGCCTGGTGAGCGATACAGCGGCCTCAGAGCTATCACACGTCCAGATGTGCTCCTGCAGACCCACCTCTGCAGCTGTGCTCTCCCATGAGGATAAGAGATAAAAGCAGGGGTGGCACACGGAGTCTGACCGCTGCCGTGTCCCTCCTGGGCACAGCCAGGCTCCCCACACTGCAGGCTGCTGCCACAGTTAGGTGGGAGGAGATAGCTCCCAAAGAAACTGAGGGCTGAGGCCGGGGAGGTGTCCCAAAGCCAACACACACACACACACACCCCCCAATGCTGCTGGGAGGACTGAGCCACCCTGCAAAAACAAACGGGCAGCCCAGCAGCGCTGTGGAACAGGGGAGCCCTCTTGCTGCCCTCCTGCAGTGGGATGGGTCCCCAGAGAGCTCCCCCGGGCACCCGCTGGCCTCCAGCTCCACCGCTGAGCTTCGTCCCCCAAGGACCACACGAGC